GAAAGAATCCAGGGGACCAAGGGACATGCCCATAAGGAGTCTGGGTGTCCCCCCCCCATTAGAATTCCTGATTTAAATGATCCTGATAGCTCTTCCAAGTCTTGCATGGTGATCGTGTATCTATCACCACGGAGCAAAATTATTAATACAAAAATTTGAGACCGTTTCTGCTTTTCCAACCAATAATTTTACTCTTAAAAGGAAAGTATATATGTCACACAATATTTTAATTAATCCTTGTATTCTTGATCTTCAGTAAGCGTTGTACAGTCAGATCTATAGCCAAGAGACTTAATGAATATGTGATAGTTCTTTACCACTGATGCTTTCTTCCTTTCACTTTTTCTTGCCTTTGATAACCAATATAGTTTATCACCCAAACAAAACACTTTCAAAGGTTAAAGGTAAAATTATTAATATTATACCTGAACAATAGGTGTAAATTTGGACTGACCAGGGCATATCCAGGTGTAAGCTTGGGTTATCCAGGGTCTCATTAAGTCATTTAAATATAAGTGCTTATTACAAATTAAGGATGTGAGGTTGCTAACTATGTAACCATAGACAAGTTATATAGTCTTTCTATGATTCTGTTTTATTTTGTTTTAATTTGAAAAGCATGCATAAAGATTGATCTTATCTCAGAAAGTCAATGGTAAATTAAGTGAGAAAACATAGGTAAAATATTTAGATGAATTCCTGACATAAAAAGGTTAAGTTTTTTCATATAATTAATGGTGAGTATAAATTACTTTTTCAAATGACAGTTTCTTGGATTTAGAAATATTTAGATCATGTTGATGTGAGTCCTTTGGGGTTTAACCTTAACTGTCTGGTTTTGTTCTTATTTCAGATTTTTGGGTTTCTGGTATGCTTGGGAACTATTCTTGCAATAGGAAATTCAATCTGGGAGAATCAAGTTGGGGATCAATTCAGAAATTTCCTCTTTTGGAGAGAAGAAGCAAAGAACTCTGTGTTGTCAGGATTCTTAACATTCTGGTCATACATTATTATTCTCAATACAGTTGTGCCCATATCATTATATGTGAGGTAAGATGAGAGTTTATACTTAATGAAGCCGGCAGAAGCCTTTGTTCTGCGCAATCGTTTCTGTTTGTTTAAAAATTACAACAGTGAGATAGATGTTTTGTTCTGACTGGTTATGATCTGCTACATCTGTTACAAATGAGGCAACAAAGCTATTTAATCTGTTTAACTTTTACATTTTCAAATTATATTAGATGCATTTTTATTTTCTTCTTGATTTGATTTGGTTTCTTAGGAATGTTTTTCTTTGGAAAACGTGAACTTCCCTATATCTCATGGAACTTGATTGATTAGAATTGGGTTGAATTTGGGTAAGAAAAGGAAGAACATTTGGAGAGATTTATAGAGATGATGTCTCTCTGCCACTAGTTTGGCTCCAGCTCCATAATCTTCGGCAAGTTACTTTCTCTTCTAGTGCCTCTGTTTCTTCATTTTATTTGTAAAACTTTTGCTTTCTTTTCCTTTTTAAGAGAGAGAGGAAAGAGAGAGGGACAGAGAGAGAGAGAAGCATCCTCAACACAATCTCATGCTGTGATCTTCCCTCCTCAACCTTGTCAGCCAGGCAGAATTGTGGGTGCACATGCCCAGCGTGCACAGGTGGACTAGGAGACTACACCCAGGATCTTCTGTATGGGTCCAGCATTGCTTGAGCAGCACCTTAGAATTCCCAGTTGTACCACTGAGGCAGTTCAATTTCCTTGTTTGTAGAATGGAGAAAGTAGTTCTACTTCATGGACTTGTATGAAGAGCAAATAAGTGTCTGTAAAACTTCTAGAAGGATGCCTTGAAAATAGAAAAAGCTTAATATTCTTTTTTGCTATTATTAGTACTTGTGTATGACTACATAAAGGAGTTGAAATATACAATAGTAGGTATTTCTCCATTATTGGTTACAATGTATGAATCATAACTTTCACTACAACTTTGTCATTTCTAGATTTGGTCTCACAAGGAGAGCTAAAATGGTCTTGCTCTCTTGTCTTTGTCTTTTTCCCTTTCTTTCGACATATATGTTTGCATACACACACACACACACACACACACACACACACACACACACCCCTACCTTTCTTTTTCCCTGTGTGGGAGGGGTAAGGGGGAAAATGTAAGCTAAAACTTTAAAGTTGCCCCTAGAGTCTATACCTGAGAACTTTTTAATACTATTCTTAACCAAGGCTGAGCCAGACAATCACAAAGACACTGCAGCTATGATAGTACTTGTTTTTTTTTTTTTTTTTTTTTGACACATGTCATTATCAGTATTTTAACAATACACGAAGACCAGCTCTAAATCTCCACTAATTTTCACAAGTCTCTTTTTCTGTCTTTCTAAAATCCTGGCTATGATGAAGCAAGAGGAGTTTAATGCACAAAATCCACCCTTGTTTTGGATAGTGGTCAGGAAACTGAAATGTCAAGTTGTGGGAAATTGAGTTGAAGTAGTGGCATGTGGCCACAGCACCGCAAATTGCTTTGGGCCCTCTGGAACTGTGGTCAGAGTGGGTTCTATTTAAACTGTATCCTATTGGCTCATCTTTGATTCTGGAGACCTCTCATGCTTGTATCCAATTATAAAGTCTGTAGTAAATCTTGCTCTTTGCCAGGAGAACTATGGTCAACTTTTCCTTTTATGTCTTAAATGAATAATAAGTATGCATAGTGGCTTACATCTGCACATGTGTAACTTTTATATGTCCTCATGAAGGAAGCATTTTCTGTGTACACTCTTTTTTGAAGTGCATTGGCATTTTTCATTTAACAATTTAGAAAGACTGATTTTTTTTTTTTAAGAGACCAAGGCTCCTAGGTTAGCATTTCTTTTACTTGTAATGTGTAATGGTAGACAGAATATTACTTGTAATTGTCCAAACTCAGTTTCTTATTTTAATACTGATACTAATAGCTGTGTGACCTTGGGGGAAAGTACTAGGCTTTTCTGTGCCTTAGTATGTATGTCAGGTGTGTGCTGCTCTATATAATTAGGGGATTAAAATAGTTTCTGAGTTCTCCAAATAATATCACTTTACCTTTCAATTTAGGTATAGATGTTTTTCTCCTTATCTTTACATATAGATGTCTTTCTCTTTCTATTTAGCATCATATATATCATATGTATACATGTATGTATATGTGTGTGTATATATATATATATATATTTATTTATTTTTAAAATTTGCTATTGAGCACATGTGCTTGTTGGAGTGAGACAGAGAGAGCTAGAGAGAGAAAGAGAGACCAAGGGAAAGTGAGAACGCACCCCCTAGGAAGGATAGCCACATTGCAATCCCTTTTCCTTCTCTTTCCTCTCAGGATTTTGTACATGCACATATATGCACCAACACATTTTTCAAGCTGCTAGGTCCAGGACTTGAACTTCACAATTGGCAATGTGGAATTCAGCTACCTTAACCATCAGGCCATCAGCGGGCCCAGTATTTTGTATTTTACATAAAGTATTTTTATATACTTAATTTCATTTGTTTCCCAACCGTCTTAAGAAGTAGTTCTTGCCTAAGTTCTTTTGCAGATGAGAGATAATTTGCTTAGGATCATGGAGCTAATTAGGAGCATAACCAAGATCCAAACTCAAGTCTTCTGACAGTTGGCACACTGTTAGTTCTCTAAACCCTCAGCTGTGTGTGATTTATTACTCAGAGGAGCGGTCAAGAGAGTAAAAAAACAGAAAGAGGCTAGAGTTTTCTACTTGTTGGTAAGGCTCAGTATCGATGAGGACGAATGCAAACTTTCCTCTCACTAAATAATAGTGATTCTGAACTTAACTTGAGGATAAACATTTCAAGGAACTTCAGGTTTCTCAGTCCTAAAGACTGAGAGAGACACAGAAAAAGGGAACTCCCAGATTCTTCTGTTTGGAGGGTCAAAGGCCTTTTACAAAAGCTTCTACTAGGCTTTCAAATAGGTGTAAAGAATAAATTAGTACCATGTGTCACTCAAAGATAAAAGTTTGTCCTTGAATGGTTTGCTTTGAATGGTTAACAATTGCAGGTGAACAAAGGACATTTATTTGGTAGGATATTTCTATGATTTCAACTTGTTTATCTACTGTGTTAAGACATACCCAGCTACAGTGTTTTTTTTTTTTTTTTTAATAGTTGATCTTATGAAATGCAACCATTGTTCACCCAAAGAATTAGCCTTTACATGTTCCTTCCAAAACAGTAGAAATTCATTTCATGTTCCTTGTGTTGCCTCATAAGGTGTGGAATCACAAGCCCTGCTCTCTGAGCATTCAGGCAGAGTCTACAGTGTTTTTTTTTTTTTTTTTTAATAGTTGATCTTATGAAATGCAACCATTGTTCACCCAAAGAATTAGCCTTTACATGTTCCTTCCAAAACAGTAGAAATTCATTTCATGTTCCTTGTGTTGCCTCATAAGGTGTGGAATCACAAGCCCTGCTCTCTGAGCATTCAGGCAGAAACCACTAAGCAATCTGATTTTGCTAGCTGAATGTTTTTCTCCCTTTTCTCTACTATTACAAAGAAATGGATAAATGTTCCACAGTTACTTTCCTAAATCCTCATTTCCCAAACAAAAGGCATGCCTGTCCCCTCTCTACAAGCTATTTTGAGTTCTAGAAATTTGAATAGATCAGTAATACTTCCTTTGGCTTGTACTGTAACACAGAAGAATCAACCTCTATTCCATTCATTATGCTGTAAGTTTACAGGGAGCTACCAGACTTTCAGATAAATAAAAGCTTCAAATAATCTGTGTAGTTAACTGTGTAATATGGTCTACATTACCAAGTACTAGAATTCTAGTCTTGGTTCTGTGGTTGTACACCATATTTGAATGATCTTGTCTTAGTCACTTAACCTAAGTCTCAATGAAATTAGCATCTAGGGGGTTAGAATTCCTATGCTCAATATTGACTGACCATCCATGACAGGCAAGACACCGCCCTTGGTTCATTCCAAGTGCTAGAACTTTCTGAATGAAGAAAGGAACTTACAAATAATAGAGGAGGATATAGGAGAATAAACTATAAATATATACCTGCAAGATGTGACTTACTTATCTGTATATCATATGATTCTACATAGTCGTAGTATTATTTTTAGTTTGAGAGAAAAGTCTTACTGTTCAAATAGATAGAAAAAGAACTGGCATCATACCCCTTTTGGGGAGGGAAATGTACATATGCCATGTACCTTTTTAAAAAAGTACATGGGCACATGCACTTGCCAGAGAGAGTAAGAGAAAGGGAAGTGCCAAATCACCTCCCTAGGGTGGATGGCCATGCCACAATCTATTCTCCTCCATCCTCCTCTTGGAATTTTTTGGCATACACACACACATAGACACACACACATAGACACACACACACACACACACACACACACACAGAGGTTATTTTCCAAACCGTCAAGTCTAGGATTCAACCTGTGCACTTGGTCATGTGCTTCTTAACCACCACCCCACCTGGCTAGCCTAATATGTCATGTACTTTTAAATCTGAAACATAGAATTTAATACCCAGAAAAAACTTGGATATTATCTAGGTCAACTTGCTTAACTTACAGATGAGAAAATCAGGACTTAGTATCCACTGAAATTAGACATAAGCTATGAGATCTTTCTATTATCATTACTATTTTATACTCTTCTTTTTACCCTTGTTAGTGTCCAAATACATTGAATCATGAGTGAACAAGACTAAAATTTAAACTGAAACAAATCTATTAGAAAAGTAGAACACAGACAAACAAACCTAGAAAATCCAAAAGAGTTATCTGTAAAATTCTTAATAGGGTAATTCAATTAAGTGTCTGATTAAGTTAGAAATATTTTTTTAAATTAAAAGTTTCCCTTTAGGCTAACAGTGATTTAAAATGATCCTATCAATAACAAGCTATACTGCCCAGAAATAAATTTGCAAAGCTGGAATATGGACTAATGTGAAAATCAAACCAAAGCTGAAGTAAAATTCTTTGCTGACAGAGATAATTTTATTTTTATTTTTTACTTATTTATTTATGTT